TCCTTCAGCAGTTTCTTGGTCTCGCGCCTTCTACTGGTCCTACTCCTCCCTTACTATGTCCACCGCCTGACCAGTCGCAGTTGAAGTTACAGCCAACCTCCCCACTGCCTGTTCCTTCTCCTTGCACTTGGCCGACCAGAGGTCTTGCGGAGCGTCGTGAACCTTCGTCTCGTCCTGCGTCGCCTGTTCGCGCTGCTCGCACTGGTCGTCGTGTTCCGCGTCAGCGTCCTTCTCCTGACCCCGGCATGCACCAGATGGCACTTAGTCCTTCCTCTGTTCCACTTCGTGTCCCTCTGCCGTCTCCTCTTGCGTCTTCCCTTGCTAACGGTCCGGACCCAGAGTGTGACTCCCTTTATGCTGTTAGTCCTACTGTCAGGCGTCTCCTGGCCACTATTGTCACTCACCCTTCGTTGCGTCTACTGCTGCATCTGCTCTTGTTGCTGAGCTAGTTGACTTTGCTGCAGCCTGTTGTCTAGACTACGCCGCTAGTCTTGTTGCTGAGTCAGAGTCTCTCTGTCCTCCGTCCGTCGGGGGTGAGTGTGCTCGTGGCACGGACGTCCTTGAGGACAGGCAGGAGGACTATAAGTGCTTTGCAGCTGGGTTTAGGGTTTAGTGTTTAGGGTTTAGGCACTTACGTAAGGTCAGCCATGGACGCAGAGATGGCATCCTGGAAATCCACAGGCGCTTACGTCGACGAGGTTTCCCCTCCTAGTGCGAACATCGTCAGTGGCATGTGGATTTTGAGGGTGAAGCGGCCGCCGGGTTCTTTGCCTGTCTTCAAGGCACATTACATTGCACGAGGCTTCTGTCAGCGACAAGGAGCTGACTTCTTGCAGACCTTCTCCCCTACCCCGAAGATGACCACTCTTCGGGTTCTGCTGTACGTCCCCGCTCAGCATGACTACGAGCTTCACTCTCTTGACTTCCGCACTGCTTTCCTACAGGGCAGCCTGCACGAGGAGATCTGGCTGCGCCGCCCACCTGGCTCGTTCCCTCCTAGTACCCAGTGGAGCCTCAGAGGGCCAGTCTACGGTCTCCGCCAGGCGCCTCGCGAGTGGCACGACACACTAAGGACAACTCTTGCGACTCTTGGGTTTGCTCCTTCTACTGCTGACCCGTCGCTGTTTCTACGCACCGACACTTCGCTGCCAACGTTCTTCATCCTCGTGTACGTCGACGACTTGGTCCTTGCCACTACTGACACTGCTGGACTGGCCCACATGAATTCGGAGCTGCAGAAGAGACACACGTGCACAGACCTGGCTTGGAGATCACCCGGGACAGAGCGCGGCGCACCATCACCTTGACTCGGTTACACATGGTGCAGCAGGTCCTTCAGCGCTTCGACTTCTAGTACCCCTCTGCCTACCGGTCACTCGCTCTCAGCTCTACCTTCGGATGAGTCCGTAGAGCCAAGTGGCCCATATCCAGAGCTTGTGGGCTGCCTCATGCACCTGATGACCTGCAGTCGACCTGACCTTGCTTACCCTCTTAGCATCCTTGCACGCTACGTTGCGCCTGGGAGACATTGACCAGAGCACTGGAAGGCCCCTAAGAGGGTGATGCGCTACTTGTGCAGTACGTCGGGCATGGGGTTCGTGCTTGGAGGACGGGCTCAAGTTGTCCTCACTGGTCACGCAGACGCTTCTTGGGTTGACGACTTGGCTACGCAGCGGTTGTCACGGGGTTACACCTTCAGCCTTGGCTCCAGTTCTGTTTCGTGGCGGTTTACCCGCTCGTCTTCTGTTCTCATCTCCACCTGTGAGGCTGAGATCTACGCAGGGGCCATGGTTGCACAGGAGTTACGCTGGCTCACCTACTTGCTGACCGACTTGGGAGAGGCACCTCGTTCTCCTCCAGTTTTGTAGTCGACAACAAGGCCATGATTGCCTTATGTCAGAAGCATAGACTGGAGCACAGAACAAAGCACATCGCTTTGCGCTACTTCCTTGCTCAAGAGTTGCAGCAGCGTGGCCAGCTTCGTCTTGTTTACGTGGCCTCTCAAGCCAACACTGCTGATATCTTCACCAAGGCACTTCAGCCTTGTGATCATCGGCGTTTCTGTACTGTTCTAGGCCTTGTGCCTACTTGGCCTCACTTGCTCACTTCTTGACTTTGCTTGTACTGTGATTTATATATTTTACCTGCATGCTTACACTTGCTAGGTTGTGATCACTGTACTGCTTGTTCTTCTTTATATATATAGCTCTGCATGTGAACTGGCCTTGTGGCCATTTGCTTATGCTCGGACTGCGTGGTAACGTTGTGATCCACCCTGAGCTTGACCTTGCCTCGTTCTCTTTCTTGTCCCCCGCTTTGCCTATGGGGGTGTGTCAGAACTATGCATATATTCTCTAGGCTGTAGTGGGGCACTTCTTATGGGGTATAGGCCAATTAGGTTTTGCTATACAAACCTGTATTGCTATCATTCTGTCAGATGATCATATTACTGATGCATATATCTAGGCTGTAGTGGGGTAGCCCATAGGGGGTACAACCCAATTAGGGTTGGTACTTGTACTTGTTTCATTTCATAGTGCACCCATTCTCTCTCTCTAATCTCAACATGGTATAGAGCGGGTCCTTCCTAAGGACCATTTTTTAAGGGCCCACCCTCGAAATTTTCGCTGCCCGGAGCGCGCCCTTCTCTCCCCGAAGCGCGCTCCCCCTAGTCCTTCTCGCGCTGCCCTTGTGGCCCCCGCGAGTCGCGCGCGCGACCTTTTTTTTCGCGCGCGCGGCCCGGGCCACGTCGCGCTGGTCTTCAACCGCGTCGCGCCGCCCTCGCGGCTCTGCTGCGTCGCGCCGCCCTCGCGGCCCCCTAGCGCCGCCCACGCGGCCTCATCGCCTGCCTCTGCAGGCCCTGACGTCGCCGCTGACGGCCCCGCCGTCCCTTTCTGCTGGCCCCTCCGCTGCACTTGACGGCCCCGCCGTCCCCTCTGCCGGCCCCGCCGCTGCACCCAACGGCCCCGCCGTCCCCTCTGCCGGCCCCGCCGCTGCGCCCAACGGCCCCGCCGTCCCCTCTGCTGGCCCCGCCGCTGCTTCAGCCGGCTCCGCCGCTGCACCTGACGGCCCCGCCGTCCCCCCTGTCGGCCCCGCCACTGCACCTATCGGCCCCGCCACTACCCCTGACGGCCCCGCCACTGCATCTCCCGGTCCCGCAGCTGCATCTCCCGGCCCCGCCGCCCCAGCAACTGCGCCGCCCCAGCAGCCGAGCCGCCCCAGCAGCCGAGCCGCCCCAGCAGCCGAGCCGCCCCAGCAGCCGAGCCGCCCCAGCAGCCGAGCCGCCCCAGCAGCCGAGCCGCCCCAGCAGCCGAGCCGCCCGAGCCGCCCGAGCCGCCGAGCCGCCCGAGCCGCCCGAGCCGCCTGAGCCGCCCGAGCCGCCCCGGCAGCTGAGCCGCCCGAGCCGCCCCAGCAGCCGAGCCGCCCGAGCCGCCGAGCCGCCTGAGCCGCCCGAGCCGCCCGAGCTGCCCGAGCCGCCTGCACTGCCCTGTCTGGTGAGCACTGAGCTTTACTCTGCGCACTGCCCTCACCATACTGCTGTCATGGCTACCCCCAGTGTCCTCACCTTTGACGCTGAGGGCAGGGCCATCGACTTTGACGTGTGGGTAGACAACCTACTGCTTTTCCTACAGTGCGACAGAGCTGACGGCCTCTCTCTCTTTGATCTCACTTCTGGTGCCTCTCCCGCCCCTACTGCTACTGAGGATGCCACTGTTCGCTCAGTGTGGGCCACACGCGATGCTGCTGCACGTCTTGCTGTGCGTCGCCACCTCCCTCCCTCTGAGCGTGCACACTTTGGGTCGTACAAGAGTGCTCAGACCTTGTACGACGCCGTTATTGCACGCTACTCCACCCCTGCCACTGCTGCACTGAGCCGCCTCATGCTACCGTACCTCTTTCCCAACCTTGCTTCTTTTGCCACAGTCGCCGACCTCATTACCCACCTGCGCACTAGTGACGCTCGCTTCCGCGCTGCGCTTCCTGCTGAGTTTGACAGCTCGCTTCCAAGCTCAGTGACTAAGGCAGACGCAGCAGCGGACTCAAAGGAAGGGTCAGTGACAACCGTAGCGAGGAGACGTGTGACAGTAGGACTGGCAGCGCGAAGGGTGTCTGACTCCGGGTCAGCAAGCGCAGGAAGAGAGGACGCAGGAGGCGACGGGAGAGCGACACGCTGCGGAGCAGTGGACTGACGAAGCGCCATCTGGTGAGTGCCTGGGACAGCAGGAGGACGCTGACGCTGGACACGACTAGCAGTGGTAGCAACACGAACAGGCGACGCTCGACGAGACGCAGGGGACACAGGACGTGAAGCAGGCTCACGTCTCTGAGCTAGACCTCCAGTCGGACCAGTGTACGGAGTAGGCACAGGGAGTGGGGAGGCAGTCGGTAACTGTGGCTGTGTCTGGACAGACGGAGGACACTCTAAGGCGAGAGGAGGACACTGACTAAGAACCTGCTGAAGGAGCGGAACGAAGTACGGCCGTGGCCGTGCAGCAACTCTCGAACCAGCAGAAGCTCCAGCGGCAGGGTCCTCAGCACCAGCAGAAGCTCCACCCTCCGGGTCCTCCACTCCAGCAGCAGCAGCAGCACCTCCAGCAGCAGCACCACCAGCAGCAGCAGCACCTCCAGCACCAGGGTCCTCAGTACGAGCAGCACCTCCAGCAGCACCGCCAGCAGCAGCAGCACCTCCAGCACCAGGGTCCGCAGCATCCGCAGCAGCGTCAACTCCGAGGACCCCAGCACCAGCAGCTCCACTCCGGAGACTGATGTGCCGAGCGTACCACTCTCGAAGCTGTGGGGAAGAGGGCGGCTCCCGCCGTGGTGGGGAAACACGAGTACCAACTCCAGTAGCACCACGAGCCCGAGACGCACCCCGCCGGAGGCTGCAGTACCGTGAATACCACTCACGGAGCTGCTGCGAAGAGGGAGGTCCTCCAGGCGCCTCACATTCAACTGCAACACAACCAGGCTCAGTACCCCCAGACTCAGCAACGCCAGGCTCAGTACCCTCAGACCCAGCACCCCCAGGCTCAGCACCCCCAGTCTCAGTACCTCCAGACTCAGTACCCCCAGGCTCAGCACCCCCAGTCTCAACACCCCCAGTCTCAGCACCCCCAGGCTCCACCCGCTCAGGTTCCGCACGCTCAGGCTCCGCACGCTCAGGCTCAGCACCTCTAGCAGGACGCGAGTCGACAGCTACCTCGGCAGGCTCAACCGGGTCTACCTGAGAGACACCTGAGGGAGCGGCACCCTGAGGGGGGAGGGGGTCTACCACTACAGCACCTGGCGCGAGGAAGAGAGGCGGGGGAGGGAGCGGGGCAGTGCGGTAGGGGAAGAGGCGGTAGAAGGGCACAGACTCGTCAAAAGTGACGTCCTGAGAGAGGAAGACGCGGTGCGAGGCGGGGTGGTAAAACTGCCAGCCAGACGCATCCCGGGCAAAGCCAAGAAAGACACAGGGAGCAGTGCGGGAGGAGAGCTTGTCCGCAGACGTGTCGCGAACAAAAGCTCGGGATCCCCAGACACGGAAGCGTGACGCATCACCAACCTCCCCCGTCCACAGCAGTGTGGGCGAGGTCTCCGGAGCGGAGACACGGGGCCAGAGGTTGAGCTGATGCGCAGCGTACCGGACCGCAAACGGCCACAGAAAGTGGGGGGCAGCCGCGTGGACTAAGGAGGTACGAGCGACCTCCATGACCAAGCCAATGCGGCGCTCAGCAACCCCATTCTGCTGTGGAGAGGCCGGAAGCGTGAACGACTGGCGAATGCCGTGCTCAGCACAGTAGGCTGCCAAGAGGTCGGAGGAGAACTTGCCACCTCTGTCAGAGTGCAAGCGCAGGACAGGAAACTCCGAGCGAAAACGCTCTCGCAGCTGAAGACGTGCTCTGCTGATCCAAGGGATCAGGACATCAAGGACTTCACCCTTGCTGCGCAAGGGGAAGACCGTGGTGTAGCGCGAGTAGTCGTCAACGACGATCAAGAAGTACCTCTCCTGGCCCTGACCACGGACGCGGGCTGGGCCCCACACGTCCATGTGGAGCGTCTGCAAAGGAGCAGTCGTCGGGGGGAACGAGGAGGAGTGAGGGGCAGCGCGCTGCCGCCCCTCGACACAGGGAAGACAAGGAGGAGCAAGGGAGGGTGGGAGGGGAGGGAGTACCCGAGGAAGACCAGAGACAAGGTACCGGGCGTGCATGCCCCGAAGGCGTTGCACTGACGGGTGACCAAGTCGGTGGTGCCAGAGGACAGTCTTGTGCGCTAGAGAGCGACACGAGCAGGGGGCAGACAGCTGACCTGACGCAGACGCAGACGCAGACGCCGCTACCTGAGGGGACTCAGTGGTCAGTGTGTACAGGTCCGACCCCGGCTGCCGAGTGAAGGTAGCCAGGTGACGGCCCGTCCGAGCACACGTGCAGTGTGTCACGCGCTCGTAGGCAGGGGTGAACTGGTGAACACCCCCATCCTGAAGCGCACAACCCGCCACCAAGTTCGTAGAGAACGAGGGGAGATGAAGACCTGACAGTGTGCCCGACGGGACAGCAGGACAAGGAAGGAGGGTGGAGGAGGTCGCAATGACCGGACCCCCAGAGGGGTCAGCGAGCAAGACGGCGACTGGTCGAGCAAGGGGCTCAAGAGCAGTGCGGTCACGAAAGAAACAGCGCGAAGCGCCTGAGTCTAGAGTGAAGGTGTGCAGTGCCTCAGTGGACTCAGTAGTACCTGGGGTGGCGGACACACAAGCACCTAGAGCAGTAGCCTCACCAGTACCTGGGGTAGCAGACACGCAAGCACCTAGGGCGGCAGCCTCACTCGTGCGGATGCCTGGGTCAGGCGGAACACTCAGGTACTGGTCCTCCTCTCCACTAATAGTCAATGCATACATTGCTTTGAGTATAACATCAAAATCAAGAGCATAGATATCGATATCCTTCTTGAGGAGATCAGCCCACTGAGGGAGCTCAGGAGCGTCAGGAAACTGAGCACGCCAAGCATCATCTAGGCGAGAGAAGCAGCGCTGCGCAGTGTGCGCCCTCCCGCACGTCTGTCCCTTGCGGCGACCAGTGCGGATGACGTACGTGCAGCTAAGGCTACCCCCCCCACCCCCGTGCTGTAAGTACCACTCACGAAGCTCCTGGGAGGACTGAGGGTGCTGCGCACTCTGGCCAGTGCCAGAGCCTCCACGACCACCACCGCCGCCTCCACCACGACCACCACCGCCCCTGCCGCCGCCACGTCCACTGCCGTCACCACCACCGCCCCCACCCTGGCCACCGCCGCCGCCGCTGCCTCCACCACCCCCACCGCTGCCACTAGCCCCTCCAGCCCCGCCACCGCCCCCGCCGCTGCCACCACCCCCACCACCGCCTCCCCCGCCGTCACCCCCACCGCCCTTGCCTCCCCTGCCCTTGCCGCTGCGGCGCCCGCTGGGAGCGGACGCACAGCCGACCTGCTCAGCACCAAGAAGGTCGACAGCAGCAGCAGAGGCGACAGAGGGGAGGAGGGGGGAGGGGGAACACCCCTCGAAGAAAGGGGTGCGGGGGTCGCCACGAGAGGCACCTATAGCTACAATACTCTTCTCAGCTGCAAGTAGCTCCTTCTCTAGGGCGGCAATGGTGAGCTCAGTGGGGCAGCGAGCTAGGAAGTGGTCCCTGACTGTACGCAGAGTGTCAGGGAGGCGGGTGACTAGGTGGTAGAGAGTGAGCCAGAGCGGGGGAGGGTTGGAGGCAAGAAACTCAGCGGGCATGGCTGCACGGAAGCGGGCATCACTAGTACGGAGGTGAGTGATGAGGTCAGCGACTGTCTGGAAAGCGGACAGGTCGGGGAACAAGTAGGGAAGGGAGAGACGGCCTAGTGCAGCTGAGGCCGGGGAGGAGTAGCGCGCAACTACAGCAGTGTACAGGGCCTGCGCAGTCTGATGCTGGCCGAAGTGCTCACGCTCATCGACTGGCAGGGAGTTGCGAATGGCAAAGTGGGCGTGGGCATCGCGAGTCTGCCACTGCGAGCGAGCAGTAGCGGTAGCAGTAGTAGCAGGAGCAGGGACTGTGCCTAGTGCGTGATCGTACAGCGAGATATCCTCTCTGGCAGTGAGCTGGAGGAACAGGTGCAGATCATCGAGCCAGGTATCAAACTTAATCGGGCGGCCCTCAGTATCGAACGAGAGAACTGTAGGGCTAGCCATAGCTGAAGCAGTAGCATTGGCAGCAGTAGTAGTAGCAGGAGTAGCAGTAGCAGCAGTGGTAGTAGCAGTAGGGCGGCGCGGCTCGGCTAGGGCGGCGCGGTTCGGCTAGGGCGGCGCGGCTCGGCTAGGGCGGCGCGGCTCGGCCGGGTCGCGCGGCTCGGTCGGGTCGCGCGGTTCGGCTCAGTCCTAGAGGGGCGAGCGCGGGGCCGGGTGGGGCTGCTAAGTGAGAGCGCGGGGCTGTCCAGGGCGAGGGCGAGGCCGTGAGAGGCTAGCGCGGGGCCGATCGGGGGCCTTAGGAGGCTAGCGAGGGGCTAGCGCGGGGCCGACGGGGGCCTTAGGAGGCTAGCGCGGGGCCGATCGGGGGCCTTAAGAGGCTAGCGCGGGGCCGACGGGGGCCTTAGGAGGCTAGCGCGGGGCTAGCGCGGGGCCGGCGGGGGCCTTAGGAGGCTAGCGCGGGGCCGATCGGGGGCCGTGAGAGGCTAGCGCGGGGCCACACGGGGCCTTGAGAGGCTAGCGCCGGGCCGTAAGGGGCCTTAAGAGGGCGACGCGAGGGGCTGTGAGGGGCCTTAAGGGGCGACGCGAGAGGGCCTTAGGGGGCCTTAAGAACGAGGCGCTCGAAGCGCAGGAAAAAGGCGGCGCACGAGGGCGCGGCTAGCGGAAACGGTGGGCCCTATCGTTTCGGTCCTAGGTGGAACCTAGGCTCGTAATACCATGTCAAAATCAGAAACGAGAATGAATGACTAGAATGAGTGTTGGGTACAAATAGGTCAAACCTAACCCTAGAAATGTGTACCCACTATAGGCTAACCCACTGTAGCCTAAACAAGCACATCATACAATGTTTGACAGCATGATCTTGTGCGAGATGTCCGGCTTCAGCCCTTCGACGTATCGGTCCACCCGCTCCGCCTCATGCATGTAGCCGACTTGCTCGCATAGTGCGAGAAAACCGATTGTATTGTCTTGGACCGACACAAGTTGTCGCCAAGTAAGCAGTCTCTGACGCGCTGAAATAGAAGCTGCGTTCGGCTCGAAGCGCGCCCGAAGCCCTATGCACCACGCGTCCCACGTGCTGTACTGGGCGGTTTCACAGAACGAACTCCCGCTGACGGCTGGAAACTGTCCATGGCGGGGCCCCTCAGCAGCGAAACAGCATAGCGAATCTTCCCTCCGTCCAAATCAACGTAGTACGCGTCGAAGAAGACACTCATCATGAAAATCCACGATTGAACCATCGGACATCCACGTTGGCTAGGATCGAAGCAGGGCAGGCGCTGCGGCTTGATCATCATCGGTGCAATGACATCGTTGTTGCCACTCGTTGCTGCAAACTTCACGTGCCGACGGGCCTCGCGAGGCCCCTGTGTGCTTGGTGCGGTCCTGTTCCTCTCCATGCCAGGCATTGATTGGGCGGCGCCATCACTGGCTGCGCCTGAGCGCTGTCCCACACTATCGTGTTGTGACGGTGTGCTGAACGAAGTTATGATGTGCTCCTCCTTTTGCACAGGTGCATTTGCAGGTGCTTGTGTTGGTGTAGGTGCATTTACCGTTGATTGCTGACGAGCGGAGTCGCATTCCGCCGTGAGTGCCGCAATTTTGAGCGCCGAATCTTCGAGTTGGCGCACGAGTCGGTCGAGCTGCTCCTGCGTCAGTGTCGCGAGATTGAATTCGGCCATGGCGGGGGTGTCCAGCAAGCTCAGCGAGAGCCTCAGTCGTGGTCGTGCGTGCTTTCGAGAGAGCACTTCGAGCGGCAGTGCCTGAACGCTGAGAGACGTCTACCCCCCCCCCAAACATTGGGATAGTGGGGAAGCGAAGGTGTGGGTGCGGTCCAAGAAGAAATCGTAGGCTTTGATACCAAATGTTACGAGTGCATTTGAGCGAGCGAGCAAGAATTGCACTATCAAAACAAAACAATCCATTCAGCGAGGGCATGAGCGAAGAATATATAGCGAAGAATATATAGCGAAGCTAGCGTGGTAATAGTAATGCGTAAAAATGGGGTGCGCTACAGGCCTAGTGCCGAGGCTGGGAATGGTCGAGGCAGAGGTCCGGAGTGCGAGTTACCAACCGAGCGGTGAGGTTGGGTCGTGGTGTGAACAGTGGCAGGAACAGTAATCGAGGCGAGTGGTAACGGTGCACTATTGAGAACTGTTGGCGGGAACAGTCATGTACGCGCTGAGCAGGGATGCGAAGAAAGGAAAATGAATTTCCCTTACACAGACTAAGATCTCCTGATTGACTTTCATTTGTTAATATTTCAACAGGTCTCTCATCCCAGGTCTATTATCTTTAGAAGGAAAGAAAACAATTAATGTGCTGCACCTCATCTGTCTGCTGGGATGAGAAAAGCCCTTAGGATCGTTTCAGGCTAAGACTCTAAATCGGGATGTAATTTCGGAAGCGTTCTTAGTGAAATTGGTTGAACAACCTTGAGCTAGTATGTGAGAACAAATTGTGTTAATTATAGCAAAGTACTACAAGCTTGTATAAGATTACATAGTGTTAAGAATTAAAAAGCAGGAACGATTGCATTGAATGAATTGTGGGTACAAGTACTAACCCTAACATTGGGTTGTGCCCCACATGGGCTACCCCACTATAGCCTACACACAACTAGCACAGATATGGTTTGACACACCCCTATAGGCAAAGTGGGGGAGAACAAAGGGTCACAAGACAAGTCAGGATAAAGCAAAGAAAGCTCAGGGTGGATCACAACGTCACCACACACTCTGAGCACAAGCAAAGGGGCCACAAGGCCAGTTCACATGCAGAGGTATATATGCAACAACAACAGTACAGTGATCACTACCTAGCAAGAGTAAACATCCAGGAATATATGTAGATCATAGTACAACAAGAGTCTACAGCAAGTGAGGAATCGTAAGCACCAGGCCTAGAGTAGTGTAGAAGCACTAATGATCACCAGCCGGGAGGGCCTTGGTGAACACATCAGCCGTATTGGCCCGGGTGGGCACGTGAGCGAGGAAGTAACGCAGAGCGATGTGTTTTGTTCTGTGCTCAAGTTTGTGGTCTTGACAGAAGGCAATGGCAGCCTTGTTGTCGACGTACAGAATTGGAGGAGAAGGAGGCCTCTCTCCCCAGTCAGTCAGCAGGTAGGTGAGCCAGCGTAGCTCCTGTGCAACCATGGCTGTCGCGTAGATCTCAGCCTCACAACAGGAGCTAAGAATAGAAGACGAGCGTGTAGACCGCCAAGAAATAGAGCCAGAGCCAAGGCTGAACGTGTAACCCTGTGATGACTGCTGCGTAGCCAGGTCGTCAACCCAAGAAGCGTCTAAGTGCCCAGTGAGGACAACTGAGCTCCGCCCTTCAAGCACGAGCCCCATGCCCGATGTACTGCACAAGTAGCGCAACACCCTCTTTGCAGCATCCCAGTGCACCTTTCGGTGCCTACCAGGAGCCACGTAGCGTGCCGGAAGGCCAAGAGGGTACGCAAGGTCAGGACGAGTGCAGGTCATCAGGTATATGAGGCAGCCCACTAGCTCTGGGTACGAGCCACTCGGCTCTACGGACTCGTCCGAAGGTGGAGCTGAGAGCGAGTGGCAAGTAGCCTGGGGAGTGGACTCTGGCCAGGACCAAGTGAAGCCGAAGCGCTGAAGGACCTGCGGCTCCATGGGTGACTGAGTCAGTGTGATGGTGTGCCGTGCTCTGTCCCGGGTGATCTGCAAGCCAAGGTAGCTGCG